GGCTTCCCATGCAAACCCTTGGGCATACCAATGTGGCCAGCATCGCTCCTGCATGGCATCTGGCGCTGAGATTTGGCACATTCGAGGTTGCTGCAGAGCTGGAAAGTGATGTCGGCTGCTGCGCTCTGCCGACAGAGCAGCAGGATCGGGATAAGGGAGCTCGGCTGATTGGGTACAGGGACACTGTGAAGCCACCAGTTTCCATTGGGAATGGGTTGCTAATGGCAGGAATGTGCATCGGGATCCAGCTGGCCCACTTGGCTTGAGTTCTGATGGCCCCAGGTTGTCCCCAGAGGCCACTGTGGCCTGGTGCTCACAGCCAGCTCTGCCAAGCGAGCATGAATCTTGAAGAGACGCTGGATAGTAAATACTTGGCATGTACAATCCGGAGGCAGGCGCAGGGCGGCTCCGGCAAAGCAGGAACTCGCCATCCCCGCGCTCCCGAGCCGAGCGCCGCGCGCGATTCGCACTGCTCGGCACGGCCGGCGTTCCCCATGCCAAACCCCTTCATTTTCGCGTAATGACGAGATGCCGGGAAACATTTGGAAGCAATCAGGAGTGTGAGTCAAGGCGGGATCCTGGCTCCGGCCGGGCTTGGCGCTCGTGGGGAAGCGGCGCAGGCAGGGCCGGCTCTCCAAGCGCGGCGTTGTGAGCTGGAGTCCGCGGGGCTCCGCGCTTGCTGCTCTGTGGTGCTCACACTGCAAAGCTCTTCATGGTGTTTATGCCCTAAGCCCCAACCCCCAAATTCCTTTGGGCACTGGAGGGGGATCGGGCTTTGCGTGGGAGAGGTGGCCCTTGGGCCTGAAGGCATCCCGAATCATTACATGCTCAGCCAGGGCAAAATGTGGCAGGGGTTGTCGAATGCTATTGCTCTCTCTGGGAGCTGAGCGCCTCCAGTTTTGCCCTTTTTCTGGGCAAATGCAGCAGTCTTGGTCACTGTTTTTGCCTGTTTTTGTGGGCATCGGCCTTGCACTTTTCTCCTTTCTTTTCCAGGCACCTGGGGGCTTTTTAATGCCAGCAAGAGGGTTTGCAACAGCCGCCTGTCACAGCCACCGCTGCCAGGGCAGCATCAAGCCAGGGCTGCTGTTGGGAAAGACGAGTCCGCAGACAGGTTTCCCCTTATCCGCCTTGTGTCGAGTCTTCCACCGACACAGGATTTCTGGGGGAGCTTCCTTTCAGCTCCCTAACGAGCGGGCTAAGACCTGCAATTAAACCAGCCTTTAGCTGCAGTGATGGCTGTGATTGCAGTAGAAAGAGATAGTGCCCGATAACACACAGCGAGGAAGGCCCCAACAGCAGCCACCGGCTTTTGGGGCTCGATTTTGAGCATTGCAGGAACAGAGGAGGGTTTGGAGGAGGGTTTTTCTCCCGCTTCAGGCTCCGTCTCTTCTCCAGCTAATGAGACCTTAAGTGTCAGAGCAGCCTTCAAGCAGTGAGTAAGAGGAGGAGCAGGGGGAGGAAGGCTTCCCCCTATATCCATATTTCTCTGCTGCTAAGACCATGTTCTCCTTTGCTGTTGTGGGTAGCAAAAGGGAATTTTTTACATTTTTTTTTCCTATTTCATTTGCCTTTTCTAGCTGAAGCCAAATAGAGAGAATGAATCCAAACAAAGGTTCATATGGGAAAGCTTCATCCATGTCCCTAGGAAACATAATTACTTCTATGCAAGGTCCTTTCATTTTGCCTTCAAAACATCTCTCGATGCATGTAACGCTCCTCAGAATTTATTTTGGAGTTTAGTTCATCTGTCATTGTGTCTTCCTGCATTTCAAGGCTGTCTCGCTGCTGAGCCTGGTCAAAAAGTGGAGGATTCGGCAGCCTTTTGTACTTTCCAAATTGTGTTTTTCAATTTGGCCGTCATCAGATCAACTGCTCTCTTCTTGCTGGGCCCAACAGTGTCTCTGAGTTGAGGCCATTCATTAATTGTGTGAGGAAATCTCATTAGCTCTGGGATTCCTTGAAATGCCAGATTCAAAATAATATTTCTAATAGCTTTGTGTTGGGAGTAGCACTAAACTGAGTCTGCTACTGACATTTAAAATTAATCCGAATCTTCATCCCTATCAAGAAAAATCAGCACTTTGGGGAGAAGGGCTTGACTTCCAGAGCGGAACAGCCAAGAACCTCCCTGAAAAACTGCTGGGGAGCAAGAACTGGAAACGCCCAGGTTTGACATGGTGACATATCTGATGTGGGGGACAAGAGGTCTCCAACGATGACGTCATGGTGAGGGCATCTTCCAAAACATCAAATTTTAATGTTTTGAGAAACATCCCACTTTTGACTAACACACTTTTAACCCTTCTTGTCTAGAGTGGATTTTCGAGTTTAGGATGGGAGTCCTGGTCAAAACCTGACATCAAAGAGCGTTTTTCTACCAGGCTGGCTGCAGCATTTGTGCCATGTAAGTCTATGAATATATGGATATAAATCAGGGAAAAACAGTCAGCCCTTCTTGGGAGGGGAAGGTAGTTTTATCTGACTTGAAACCAAATGTATTTGTGTAGAAATGTGAAAAAGCAGCCAGAAATTTGGTGATGGGGTCAAGGAGCTGAAACCAGTTGCCTCTGATCCCCAATACTTGTGTTTGGACCTGTAGCTCCAGCTTAATGCATCAGTCATTGACTCGTGGTGTCCGGAGGTTCCCTGGCCTCTACGTAGTGCTCAGGAAAGTTGTATTTTCATTCCAATGTGAAACTGAGAACAGTCTTATCCCTGTTTTTTGTGGGAGAGGAGAAAAAGTGCTTTTCCGTGGACCCGTGACCTGCAGTTGTTTCCTTTCAAATCAGGACCTTCCCTAACACTCCAGTGATCACTAGGCAGATGAACAGCGGGGAAAAGCAACTCCCTTAGCCGAGTGTCCATTAATTTGCAGCTTTGCACACATTTGTCCTAAGGAAAAAATGTGTGTTGGCTCGGGAGCCAGTAATGGGTTTTGCAGAGCGGAGCACAGCCCGTGGCCGTGGTTCCCAGCGCCGCAGCGCACATGGGGACGGGTCCTGCCCCTCCGCGCAGGCACCGGTGTGTTTTGCATGGCTGTAACAAGAGCACGCGCGGCCCTGGGCTTTATTTTTGCTGGCTTTGTCCTAGGTGCTATAAATAAACACCGTGGGGAACAGCAGATAAACTATCTGCCCTGCGGCCGGCTGGTGTCGGGAGTGCAAAGGTTGGGGTTTATTTATTTACGCGGAACCCGGGTTGCCATGCGGAGGCGGCCGCCGTGCCAGGCTGTGGCTCTGCCCCGCACGGCTGCGTGTCCATCTGCACCCGTGCGTGCAGGACGGGCGAGACGGGGCTTTGAGCTTGGGTTCCCATCGACACGGATCCGTGACGGCTTGGTGGGTGCATGGTGAGAGGTGGAGACATTCCCTGCCAGGGAAGGCCTCTGGTTAACAAAAAATGGTAATTTCTCAAATTCTATTGCCTTGACTTTCCCTGGATGCTTTAAGTCACAGCTGAACCCAAAATGTAGCTTTTGCTCATTGCAGCAGGATGAGCTGCAGCTGGGGCAGGGCAGGTATGGGGGGATTCCACCCTGCACGACCTGGCTCTCTGCCCCAGTCAAGCCACGTGCAAATGTGCAGGATCGTGTCCCCTTCTCCTGCCCTGGACATGCATCTCCCTGTGGGATTTGGCCTTTTGAGTGTTAGGAACGACTCTGTGGGCCTGCAGCCTTTTGCACATGTGAGTGGGCTGCCTTTTGCTCAGCAACACAGGCCTCTGTCTGTGTCCTCGGGCTGTGCGGAGGGGAGTCTGCAACCTTGCACTTGTTGCACTGGGGTTACTTCCAAGGCCCTTGCAAGATGCCTCCTTGCCATGTCCCATGGGCAGGGTCCTGCACAGAGCTCTGGGCCATGATCTTTACGCCAGGGCACCCATCGCGTCCCCAACTCCCACAGGACCAGGAGGATCCAGGTATCCCACAAGCAGAACAGCGTGTGCAGGGGATAAAAGCACCGAGCGTCGCAGCCTCCGGCGTTTCTGGTGGCTCTGCCCTGGCATCGTGGGGCCAGGGAGGTGACATCTGGGGACAGGGAGGCAGAGCGAGTGCCTGGCCACCAGCGGGGCCCCCTCTGCCCACAGCCTCCCTGCATGGGCTCAGCCGGGAGCGCGGAGCGGGATGGAGGCACCGCGTGGCACTCGGAGCCTGGCCCTGCAGGGGACAGACGGCAGGAACCGGCCGGGTCCCTGCGCAGCGCGGAGCCCCTTGCGGGCCCCCCCGTCGGGGCTGGGCCGGGGGCGCGAGCCCCGGTGCCGCCCGCAGCCCGCGGGGCAGCCCCGGCGGAGGGAGGAAGGACGAGCCCCGTCCGGGCGCCGCTTCCTCCGCAGGCCCTGCCCGGCCGCGGCGCCCGCCCCCGGCCCGCCCCCGCTCCGCGCCCCGCGCAACAGTTGT